TCCTGTGGCGTCAGCACCTCGCTCTCAGCCACATCGAATGACACGACAAGATGTTGACAGGTAGCGTTACTGCTTCTGATATCTTGCTGTCTTGACACTGTAACTATCTTGAACTTTGCAGGTTCATTCTTCGCACGGGGCTTTCCGCATTCACGTTCTCTTAAGAGCAAGGACCACCCAACATGCCAACACCTCTCGACCGAGCCATGAAATCCAAGGTCAGTTGTCACCCCTCCATCCTCTTAAGTGGTCGTTGGCTAACATCCCTTGCTTTTAGAACGCCTTCCTGGGTAAGCAACTCCTAATGCACTGGAACATGACACGCTGACTTCCGGAAGCATTCACCGGCTTGGTGACCGGTGTTGCTGTGTGGGCCATCTGGGGAGGCGACATGTTCCCCGCGGAACCGGATCCAAAGGGAGACCCGACAACCTGGACCAGAGAAGAGTTGAGGAGGTGGCTCGCCGCTGTATGTTGGTCCAGGGTCTTATAAAATTGGTCGAAAGCTGACATGCAGGCAGAGAAACCTGCACCCCCAAGTCTCGGACAGCAGAGAACAGCTGCTGGAACGAGTCCAGGCAAATATGAGGATTTCGAGGAACTAGGCTGGCTTGAGGCAGCCCAATTTGGAGGTTGGCTTGGCAGCCAGGCCAGGCCTTTACCCGCTGCGCGGCGGGTGCAAAACATATGTTATCTCATGAATTTTGGTTGGGAATTTCAAAGTCTTGACAACCCAGTAAGAAAGCGTGTCACTTGCACGGCTTGCCATGAGAAATGTTTGTTCAACCCATGGCGGTTTGCAACCTTAAGGTGACAAGCCCGGGACTTGCCCGAGTGTGGAGGGTCACCTTTGATTTGCCTGTGTGGGCCCGTGGGGTGTTTCGGACGAGAGCGTGCAGGAGAATATTGGCCAATTAAACTGCTATCCGCGATAAAGGGTAAGCAGCTCCTGTCCGTCGCGAGCGACCCGCGAGGCCAGCTTGCTCCTTGCAACACTCCAGCAATCTGCAAGCCGCCGTTGCTGAATCGGATCCGCGACACCTGGAACAGTCGCGGCCGCTCGCCACGATGGATTTTCTTCAGGTACGATGTTGCGGGCCCGGTCTGCTTCCCCGTATTAGTTTGTCATCCACTAACGCGCCCGTCCCAAGCGCCTCGCGCGGTTCCTGGACCGCCCGCTGTTCCCGTGGAAGAAGCTCATCATCGGCTTCTCCATCGGCCAGTACATGCTCGAAGCCTTCCTTGGCTTCCGCCAATACCGCGTGCTGCAGCGGACCAAGCCCCCCAAGGTGCTGGAACACGAGGTGTCGCAGGAGGTCTTCGACAAGAGTCAGGCCTACGGACGCGCCAAGGCCAAGTTCCAGGGCTTCAACGGTCTCTACGGACAGATTCAAAACCTCGCATTCTACCACTTCGACGTGCTCCCCAAGCTCTGGTCATGGACCGGCAACCTGCTGCTTCGCTTCGCGCCGGCCCGGTTTTCGGGCGAGATATCTCATTCGATCGTCTTCATCTTGGCCTTCATCGTCATCCACCAGGTCTTCTCACTGCCATCCAACATCTACAACACGTTCGTTCTGGAAGAGAAGTTCGGCTTTAACAAGCAGACGCCGAAGCTCTTCATCACCGACATAATCAAGACCAACATCCTGACGTTCGCTTTGGCGCCTCCTATTCTCGCCGGTTTCCTCGCAATCATCAAGAAGACGGGCAGCCAGTTCTTCTACTACCTCTGGATGTTCGGCGCCGGTCTGCAGGTTTTCATGATCACCATCTACCCCATCGTCATTCTTCCCCTGTTCAACAAGCTCTCCCCACTGGAGGAGGGCAAGCTGAAGACGGACGTGGAGGACCTGGCCAAGAAGCTCAAGTTCCCGCTCCACGAGCTGTACGTCATTGACGGCAGCAAGCGCAGCGCCCACAGCAATGCCTACTTCTTTGGCCTGCCCTGGAAGAAGCACATCGTCATCTACGACACGCTGATCGAGAAGAGCGAGAAGGAGGAGGTTGTTGCCGTGCTTGCCCACGAGCTCGGCCACTGGAGCTTGGGCCACACCACCAAGCTCTTTGGCATCTCTCAGGTGAGCTCTTGGAGCAGTTTACTTCTTGCCCAGTCGCATGCTAATCATTCCTCAGGCTCACTTCTTCTACATCTTTGCCCTCTTCTCTGTGTTTGTCAACAACAACTCGCTCTACGCCGATTTCGGTTTCACGACCCAGCACCCCATCATCGTTGGATTCCTGCTCTTCTCCGACGTCCTGGGCCCGATGGACAACGTCATCAAGCTTCTGATGAACATCTTGAGCCGCCGCTTCGAGTTCCAGGCCGATGCCTTCGCCAACAACCTCGGCTACAACACGGAGCTGTCCCGCTCCCTGATCAAGCTGCAGATTCAGAACCTGAGCACCATGGACGCCGACTGGATGTTTGCGAGCTACAACTTCTCGCACCCGATCCTGTCGGAGCGGCTGAAGGCGCTCAACTGGCAACCCACGGAGAAGGTGGAGGTGAAGGCAGCTGAGAAGGCGGAGGAGAAGGAGGATGTTGCCACTGCGACTGGCAGGGATGAGTTGTAACTGGGTGGGCTTGGGTTTTTTTTAAGATCTCTGGGTTTAGCTCTCGGTAGCAGAGAATAGAACACTGGTTCCATCTTCAAGCCTGTTTGCGGGGTGTGAGCATTGTTAAGGCCAGCTTCGTGATCTGTTCCAGCCGATCACATTCAGCCCTAACCCTTCGTATCCCAGTTTGCAGAACCGACCGAGAGAAGGAATATCAAAAGGCTGCTGTTTGAAAGTTGAGGCGCCCCTGATCTACACTCTTGAATTCGTAGCTCCCACAGTGAGAGAAGTTCGAAACACGCTGAACAGTCCGTCGATCTGAGGTATCTTATTGCAGAAGCGTTGTCCTATTGAAACTTTGGCAGCTGTGGTGGGGCCTTGCCAGCTGGCGCGGCTCCGGAAGACTGGATCAGTGCAGCGCAACCTCAAACCCAACCGCCACCAAAACTTTGGACGAACTTGGCCCGGCGCCGGTGCATCACGACCACCACGACCAGGAATCCCGCCGACTTCCCAGCAGCGCGGACAGAACTGAGAAGCCAACCACAATGTCCCGCGTCAAACTCCAATCCTCGGTGCTTCAGGCGGCGCTGCGGCGCCCGACCGCCCAGCCGCGGATTCCTCTCTGCACCCTGATCAGCACAACGCCCGCCCCGGCCGGCGCTGCTCGGTATGTCCCCTCCCAATCCGCCCGGCGCCCCAATGCCCATCCCAATCCCCAGATGTAGCGACTAACCGCCCCAAAAGCACCTTCTCCCACCTCCCGACCCTCCGCCCAACCCTCGCCACCAGCAGCACCACCTCCTCCGTCTTCCGCGCCCCGAACCAGACCACCCTCCTCCCGACGCCCATGACGACGGTGACCAGCGCGACGACGGGCGAGGCGCTCGACCTGCTCGCCAAGAACGCCGTGACCTCGCACCCGGCGCTCGCGGGCGTCGCCAGCCAAGTGCGCTGCGGGCCCCGCCCGACCATGTCGGGCGCGTCCCGGCTCATCCAGAAGCGCCGGCACGGGTTCCTGAGCAGGATCCGGACCAAAGGGGGGAGGAGGACGCTTGTGAGGAGGATGTTGAAGGGGCGGAAGAGGCTGAGCTCGTGAGGGATGGGTGCTTGAAGAGGGGGGAGGGCTGTGATGGGGAGTTGGGGTGGATGGGGGGTGGGGGAGAGGTGTATTATACCTTGCTGAGGACGGGTGCTGTAAAATGTACTATATGGGGATATAGAGGTGTTTATGGGACGCGTGTGTAGAAATGGCAACACCGAGTCGTTGTGCGGTCTCGTTCGGCGTCGGAGCCTGCCGGGTCGATATCTTCCCCCCAGCGGTGGCTTGTATCTCTGGCCTGTGTGTCTATATGGTTGAAGTCAGGGTCTCGTCGGGCCCGGTCGGGTTTGGTTGCCGTTTTCTTGTCGCTGAGTTTGCCCATGGAGCCGCTGGGATATATGGAGTGTCAGGACATGACGCCTTCACCCTGTTTGCCAACTTCCAGATCATCAACACCATTTTATTTACAAACGTATGAACGGAGTTCCTGGAGTCTGCACCCAGCGCCGTTGTTTCGGCCATCTATGTATTCTCACTGCAGTGTAGCACAGTAGGAACAGGATTTGGCCCGGGTTGGCATGTTCCATCCTTACATCCCAGACACCCGAGCCCCCTTTTATGAGTGGACTCCCTTGCCTGCATGCTCTTTTGGGTATTTGGATTTCCCAACCAAGCAACAGAATACCCTCGCCGTCCTGACCCTGAGTGGTGGCTCTCAACTCATTCCCTGCGCCCACGGCTGCAACTCTCAAAACCGTGGACGCGCTAGCGTCGAACTTGTTCCAACTTCCTAACACGGGTTCATGACACAGAGCAGATCATACTCGAGCTCTTCGTGCATAAACCGCTCAACCATACTGTTGTTTGCGCCTTGGCAAGGTTGAGCCGCAGGTTTTCTTCAGTCTTACTATTAATACGGCGTCAGAATTATAGACTGCAGTACAGGCTAGCAGTTGTTCACATAGATCAACCCTTTGGGTAAAAGTTCCGAAAATGAATACCTGTTGCTCAACAAGTCTCGTCTCTCGACTTGGGGTTCATGTTGGCCATATACACTGTCCTCAGGCGAGGCAACCCGGGCAACGTGCTAGAAGATGGCCATCTGTGCCAGGTATTCCGTACTGGGCACCGAAACCACAGCCACCCCTCGCGGATGCCAGACAACTTTCACCATAACTGCTGTTGATATCATACGTCGTGTTGGACAAGTTGGGAATCCCACCTCGGGGAAGTGCGTCATGGATGGTGATCGTCTGCCTGAGAAGCAGCAGCCGCTCCTTCCATCCCAAACCCGCCCCCTCCCTTCTCCTCCCCCCCTCGTGCCTGCCTACTTCCTGCTCATTCCACATCAATCTATAAATCCCAATTCCGCGTGCTTCCTTCAACAAGAAACCAATAGACCTCTCTGGTGTATCGGTTAACATAGCGGATTCTCATACAGAGCACTTCCGTTGCGCGGGGTTCGACTCCCCGGAGGGGTAATTCTTTTTGCCCAATACCGGTATCACCGGTAACCGACAACCTTGCCAGGCGGTTTTTGCGTCGAGCATGTGCGGTCAGGACAACTCGCCTCATCGACTTGCTTCCATTCAATCCACACTGTGCAGTTGAATTGCTCTTTTCCCGGGTCGTGAACGGCGGGTTTCTTGCCAACATTGTCTTCTCAGCAAGAGGTTATGAGGCTGAGAGAAGAGGGAGTGAGACTCTCGGCAGCAAGCACATGAACATTTGCTAGCGCAAAGGGCACAGCTGAGCACAAGCAGGGTGCTCGATACCACGCTCTGTCCGCTTCAGCTTCAATGGAGAGGGAGGCTATTCCGCAGTCAGGCCAGAAGTGGACTCGGAGTCGTTTTATTCCGTAATCTGAATTGCTTACTTGGGCGTGACTGAGTTGCAGCTGGCGTTCAGGTTGGCGTGCAGGCTGGCGTGAGGGCCAGCGGAGAGGCTGCTGTGGAACCTGAAATTTCTCATTCCCGCTTTGCCCAGACCTTCTGGAATCCAGACTTTGACCAACCCAAACACAGGCAGACAGACCCAGAGTGTCGGCCCAGATTGCCCGCCCACCACCACGCGCTCACGCCTGCTCCTACCCACCAAGTGCACACATGCCGACGCCCGCAGAGACAGACATTGTCTCGAACACACCCATCCACCCCATCCCCGGCGCCAGCACGGATCGATGCGGCTCCCACGTGCTGCTGCTCTCCAGCGACCACAGTGTGGGCCAAGTGCCAAGACATGGAATCCGGGTACGACGGCAGGGCAGCATGAGATCGACGCCGCCGACGTGGGCAGGGAGGATTTGAAGAGGATCTTCCCGCGGTCAGCAATTGGCAGCTCTCTCCCCCAGCACCACCAACAACCGCATCCACAATGACAGCATGCAGACACGAGCTGCAGCAGCACCTCGCTGAGGTTGCCAGGTTTTCCCAATGGGTGCGTCCGCTCTGGCGGGACAGCGATGCACCCTGTCGTCCTTGCCCCGGGGGATTGGGACAAGCAGGACGAAAACCCGCAGCGTTGCAGTCCTCGTTGACGTGGCCCAGCGACGCCAACGTCCAGCTCGGACGGACCCTGGCAGCCCAGCGCTCTCGGCGTTCAATAGTGACCGGGGTTAGGCGAGCTTCTGCCAATGCTCCCTGCCCTGATCCGCACAGCCTCGAACAACAAACCCAAAACGAACACAGGGGGCGGATTGCGGCTGGAGGTCGGAATCGATAAGCCGCCTCCCAGCCCAATCAGGCCAGCCGCTTTTCGATGGACACACACACTTGGCGCGCCCTGGCCTTGCGGCTTGTGGGGGGGCGCCTTGGAGATCCACGCCCAGGACCCTTGGGAAATACGAGTGACAGGGGCCGCGCCCTGGGAAGCAATCCAGGGCCAGGAGCAAGGGGACACCATCCGTGTCCGCCGAGACTTTGATGCCTGCAGCATGCAGCCCTGGGCTGAGGAGGGCCATGATGGAAAAAAAGAGCAGCGCCCAACATGCCGTCCCCGCCGAGAGCATCATCCTGTGGTAGCCGCCCCTTCGTTCGACCTTGACCCTCGCGGTCTCCCACCCTCGCTTCCCCCCTCCCTTTCCTGGCTTCCACAGCTCGTGTTGCGCCCTCGACTCCCTTCACCACTGGCGAGGTCAGATCCGTTGGGTCGTTATCACCTCCCGCCCGCCAGGTCAAGCGTCGCGCAGCCTGGTTCACCGTCCACCACTCGTTTCGGTCCTCGAGACCTTTCTTCGCGGCTCTTTGCCCTCTATAATTTAATGTTTTGAGAACTCAAGACCTCACCAATCATGAGATCGAAAACGCCTCTCTTCGCCGGTCTGCTGTCCGTCGCCGCCCAGACCGGCAGGGCTGACCCGACATGGCCCGCCGCGACCGACCACATGGAGGAGATCGTCTTCCAGCTCCAGGGTGTCCAGGGGAGCCTGTTCAACGACATCATCACGCCTTGCAACAATGAAGCTGCTGGCCCGGGGCGCATCACGGCCAGCGAGTGGCTGCGCGTGGGTTTCCAGTATGTGAGGTTTATTTTTTGTGGGGTGGACGTTGAATGGGAGGGAAGAGGGAACTGGCCTCGATGTTGTCTCCGGCGAGTTGTTTGATGGCGCGGGGATTTGTTTGGCGCCATTGAGGGACAAAGGATGGATGGAGGAAAAGGGGCTCGTCCGACTAACACCGTATCCAGTGACATGTCCACCCACAACCGCTACTTCGGCCTCGGTGGCCTCGACGGCTCGCTCCAGTTTGAGCTTAACAACGGCGAGAACACTGGCCCCGGCCACGGCACCACCCTCCAGTTCTTCGGCAACTACCTGACGACAAGGTCGAGCTTGGCTGACCTGATCGCCGCTGGCGTCTACGCCTCCGTCCGCTCCTGCGGCGGCCCCGTCATTCCCCTGCGTCTTGGTCGTGTCGACGCCACCGAGGCAGGCAGTGCGGGTGTCCCCCAGCCCCAAAACTCGGTTGCCACCTTCCAGCAGCAGTTTGACCGCATGGGCTTCACTCCGAAGGAGATGATCCAGCTCGTCGCCTGCGGCCACACCCTCGGCTCCGTCCACAGCAGCGAGTTCCCCCAGATCGTCCCTGCGGCCACCGGGCAGATCGCCTTTGACTCGAGCAACGCCGCCTTCGACAACAAGGTTGCTGCCGAGTATGCCGATGGCACCACCACCAACCCGCTTGTTAAGGGCGCCGCCGTTGCCGTTGGCCGCCATTCCGATTTCAAAGTCTTCAGCTCCGACGGCAATGTCACCATCAACGCCATGGCCGATGCTACCACGTACCGCAACACCTGCCAGGTCGTGCTCCAGAAGATGATTGACGTTGTGCCCGACGGTGTCACCTTGACCGACGTGATCGCTCCCTACGCCGTTAAGCCCACCAACATGCAGCTTACCCTGAACACCGGCGGCACCACCTTCCTCTTGTCTGGCTTCATCCGTGTCCGGACCACCACCCTCCCGGCGAGCTCCATCAAGAACGTCGTCCTCACCTGGAAGGACCGAAGCGGCGGCAACAGCTGCGGCTCGTCTGCCACTTGCTCCACCACATCCGAGCTTCAGGGCGTTGCCACCGGGTTTGATGACACCTTTGGCGTACGTATTGTATTGCCTTCAGAGGAGCTGTAAATTTGAACGAATAAGATGCTAACGAGTTCCCAGTTCTTCCCCATCCAAGCGACGATTCCCGTGGCACATGGTATCTCGTCCTTTACCCTCGTTGTGAACCTCAACGATGGGACGAGCCAGTCCTACGACAACAACGGCCACTCCTACCCCATCGCTGATGCCGTCGTCGTCCAGAAGCCCCAGAGCTGCCTGCTCCAGGGCACCGGCGCCCTCACCATCACGGCCCTGGTACGTTTTTGACCCACCATGGCACCTGGGTGTGATGCTAACCTTGAACCAGGTCCGCAACGACATCACCGATGTTCCGAGCCTGGACGTTTCCTACCTGACGCCCCGCGCCACGTCCGAGGGCAACCCCGTCCCGCTCCTGAACGACGCCACCGTGGCCATGACCAAGGGCGACTGTGTGGGCCAGTACACCTTCTATTCGGCCAGCTACACCATCCCCGGCGGTATCAGCTACAACGCTCGTGTGAGCGTGACTGCGGGCTCGCACACGGATGACTTCATCAAGGCCAGCGATCTGGGCGGCACCTGCGGCACCTTCACTGGCGCCGCGACTTGCGGCGCGGCTACCATCTCCAGCGTCGTCCCCTCGTCCACTGCTACTTCTGCCACGAGCTCGGCAACTGCCACCGTCGCCCCGACCCCGGCCATCAAGCCCACCGTCGGTGGCTACGTCTTTGTCAACTGCTGGACTGAGGGGACCGGCGTCCGGGCGCTCAGCGGTCCTCAGTTTGCCTACGATGAGATGACGCTCGAGTCTTGCGCGGCCAACTGCACTGGCTTCGACTACTGGGGCACCGAGTACGGCCGGGAGTGCTACTGCGGCAACAGCCTTGCGGCGAGCAGCGCCGAGGCGCCGGTCGAGGACTGCAGCATGGTTTGCGGCGGCGACCCGACCGAGTTCTGCGGCAATGGCAACCGCCTCGAGCTGTACTCGACCACTGCGACCCGCACTTCGTCCGCCACCCCCACTCCCACGGCCACTCTCGCTGTCAAGCCTACCGTTGGAGACTACACGTTCGTCGGCTGCCAGACCGAGGCAACCGTCGGCCGGGCGCTCTCTGGAAAGGGATATGCGGATGACGCCATGACTCTCGAGTCGTGCGCCGCGTACTGCAGCGGCTTCACCTACTTCGGCACTGAATATGGTCGTGAATGTGAGTGACCGGACTTTGCTGACACGACGGCTTGCAGCACAAGACTGACAATTGTGACAGGCTACTGCGGCAACAGCCTCAACGCCGGCAGCGTCGAGGCCCCCATGACGGACTGCAGCATGGTGTGCAGCGGCGACGCGTTCTCGTATTGCGGCAACGGCAACCGCCTGGAGCTCTACAGGCTCACGTCTGCCCCTTCCACCACTGCGGCTGAATCGTCCTCCGAAGGTGAGATGACATGACATGGTCAGACTAAACATGCCACCACGTGTTTTCTAACGCGCACTCTATAGCCCCCGCTACCACTACCACTACCACCCCCGCCCCGACGGGCACCCTCACCCATGTCCCTACCGTGTCACCGTACACCCTCGTCGGGTGCTGGACCGAGGTCACTGGCGCGCGCGCTCTCGAGGCCAAGACGTACGCCTCGGGCGACGCCATGACGCTCGAGAGCTGCGCCGCCTTCTGCAGCGGCTACAAGTACTTTGCGACCGAGTACGCGGCCGAGTGCTACTGCGGCAACAGCCTGCACGCCACCTCGGTGGAGGCGGCGCTCGCCGACTGCTCCATGCCGTGCAGCGGCAACCCGTTCCAGTACTGCGGCGGGCCGAACCGCATCGAGCTGTACGAGACGGACGGCTCGGCGCCCTCGGGCGGCCCCACGCAGCCCGCCACCGTCGCGGGCGGC